CATTGGGATCCCAAAACCAGTTAGTGTCCTCTCTCCAACCATCAGCATAGGCAGCAGGAATCTTGCTATAGACCTCTCCAGAGCTCCACGTGCTCCTCCACCACAGCCTGTACTGTCAAGGGAAGAGTGGCTTCCAAGGGGTCTCCCCAGGTGAAATAATATCTTGAGGAAAGAGAACCTTTTGTTAATTTACCTGAAGGTACAGTATGGGCTGGCAGTGGCCCTGGATAATGGAACCCCAGATGGCTGGTGGGAGGAGTGGGATTGAAGTGGGACTTCTGGGGCAGGCAGCCCGACTGGAGGTACCAAGGGAGTCCCAAGGATTTCCCAGACAAGCTAGGGATGACTGTGGTCCCCCAAACTAAGCTTGTGGCTGTGCAGTGTCGAATAGGCTAGCTACAGTCATCGCTTTCTGACTGCATTCTCCATGCTTGTGGAGTCAATCAGCTGTGGTTTTGGTTCTTTTTTCCAGAAGGAGATTCATTTCCTCACTCCCTGGGACCCTCTAGATCTTACCAAGAACCGGGCAGGAGACTCCACCTCATTCGCCAGCATCCAGGCCATGCCCACTACCACCTCCCTGCTGCCTACCTGCTGGGCCCTTCTCGGAATTCAGGAGCTCGGCCCCCACGACCTAGACCTTTCCTACCATCCCAGGAGCCAAGCATGGGCCCACAACACCAACGCCTCCCCAGAGCTGGTGCTGCACATCTCCGGGCTTCAGGGGAGCAGCAGCACCTGCCAGTGGCCCAGCACCCCTACGCACAGGCCTGGGGGCTGAGCCGCCTCCGATGCACCTCTCAGCAACCCACAGCTTGCCCGGTGCCTGTGCGCCGGGCCAGGCCTCATGACAGCAGCGGGTCTGGAGAAAGCTACTGCACAGAACGCAGTGGCTACTTGGCAGACGGTCCGGCCAGTGATTCCAGCTCTGGGCCCTGCCATGGTTCTTCCAGTGACTCAGTGGTCAACTGCACGGACGTCAGCCTGCAGGGCATCCATGGCAGCAGTTCTACCTTCCGCAGCTCCCTGAGTAGTGACTTTGACCCCTTGGTGTACTGCAGCCCTGAAGGGGATCTTCACCGGGAAGGGACACAACCTAGTATGACCTCTCGACCCCGTTCCTTGGACTCAGTGGTGCCCACAGGGGAAACCCAGGTTTCTAGCCACGTCCACTACCACCGGCACCGGCACCACCACTACAAAAAGCGGTTCCAGTGGCATGGCAGGAAGCCTGGCTCAGAACCTGGGGTCTCCCAGTCCAGGCCTGCTGCTTCTCGGACACAGCCCCAGCCGGAGCCACCTTTTCCCAATCAGCAAGCCCCCAAATCTAGCCCAGCAGCCCCTTTGGGGCAGTTCCCCAATCCACAACGGTCCAGGGCCCTCGCAGAGCCAGGCCCTGGGCGAGCAGAAGCTGCCAGTCCAAGCCCCAGTCACTTGCAGAAATCCAGCCTCCCCATCCGACACACACAGAGAAAGCGGCGGGGTGGTCCGTCAGAGCCCACGCCAGCCTGTCGGCCCCAGGACTTGACTGTGCGCCCAGCTTGCCAGATGTTCCCCCATCACAGCCCCAGCCTGGCATACCCTTGGCCCCCAGAGGCCCACCCATTGATCTTCAGACCTCCAGGCCTGGAGAGGAGGCTGCTCCCGGAAGCCCCAGGCCCTTGTTACTCAAGTTCACAGCCAGTGTGGCTGTGTCTGACTCCACGCCAGTCTCTGGGACCACATCCACCAGGGGAGAGGCCTTCTGGGTGGAGTTCTGATACCCCAGAGGGCAGGCCATGCCCTTACCCACACTGTCAGGTGCTGCCAGCCCAGCCTGGTGAGTTTTCAGGGGAAGCAGTATGTGGTGGGAAAAGAGACTAGAGCTGCATATTGCAGGACAGCTGAAGTCAGTCAGCACGGGGTTGATAGAAGCTGAGACGGATACACCTGAGGTGACATTGAAAGTATGGAACAACTGGCAGAGCATAGTATGTTGGCTGTATCATCCCAGCTCGGCCAGGCACTTCCCCTTTAGTTGCCAGATAATAGGAAGGATGGGGGTGGAGGTAGGGGCGGTACTGGTATGGCCGAGGCACTGGAAAGGCACTTGGGGGTGGTTTGGAGCCGAGCTCAAACCTAGGTGTTTCACTACTTGGATAATCAGTACAGCTCTAGCAATGCTCACACCCCATTAGCTCTAAATACTAAGAAGGCCAGGAAGTATTTATTCCTCGGGGAGAGTGTGATCTTACTGGAGAAATGATTACAGGTAACTATAAGACAAGGCCATCTGGCTACATGAGTGATGAAAAAATTTGAAATCATAAGTGGTTCCCAGCTACCCTGGGGATCCTTAGGGATTGGTAAAAGAACAATTAAGCTTCCCTTCCAGGTACCCTTATTAATAGTAAGACCAACCTCATTTTCTTGGGAACTTGGTGCTTCCCTGGATCACAAGCAATGGTGACCGTGTAAATTCTCAGCTTTAACGCAAAGCTTTGGATATTTATTTGCCCAGCTACGCCTTTTCCCCTTCCAGGGCCCTGTACCTCCCACTCTTCCTGTCTTCTCCCACTGTACAGATGGTAGAGCTCTTTCACTACAGCCACTGCTAGGAGAACCCTCCCATCCCTGAAGAGGACCCAAAGGTTAGGAATCCTACAGGCAGAACTTGGGAGTTTCTGTGATTCATTCATTCATTTCTTTCCTCCCTCTTTTTTCCAGTTCTGATCACATGCTTGCTATGTGCCGGGTTCCAGGCTAGGGTCTGAGGATGCGGAATTCACTACAGTGATATGGCTCTGTGGGGAGACAGGCTTACAGGCAGTTATGGTGTACAAGATACTTGCTTCCAAAAGCCAGATGATGCAAGCTTTGGCGATGCGTGTGATGGTTCCACGTGGAGTGTGTCACGTGGACTTTCCGCCAGGGCCACCCTTTTCTCCTAAACTCGGAACTAGTTTCAGTGCCTTCCTTCTCCATGCGTCTCATGTCCACTCAGTATCAGATTCTCTGTTAGTTTTATCATATTTTCCTCAAGTTCAGTACTGATGGCCCCCGCACATGCAGAGACAGCCTGAAGATCAGTGTAGACCTCCTAGCTCTTCCAGTCCCATTTACAGGGCCATGAAGGCCGGGAGCTGCACACCCAGTGCTGAGTCCATGGAGCTGGGTGGCACAGTCCTCTGCCCTCCATACTGCTACTAGAATCATCTACTTTCCAACGAACTCTCCAGAGTTCTCCAAATGCCCTGTTTTGTGCACAGTAAGGAAAAACCCAACCTGCGTTTCAAGGCTCCATTACCAGTTAGCGCCATCTTTCTTTGCAATTTTATTTTCCACACCTCCCTTTCTCTTCCTTTGCCTTATGCTTAAGTCAAACTGAGTAAATACTTCTTATACTGCAGCCCAGAATATCCGGCTGCCTTCCCTATTCCTGTAAGTCAGTTCTTGCCTAGTCCTATAAAACCAACTTGTATATCTTCATTCCAGAAGGCCTTCCCTGGTTTAACACTGTCTGTCCCCTTCCTGTACATCTCTTAGGACTGAAGTCCTGTCGCACTGGCATACTGGCCATTTGCATGCATGTCTTCTCTCTCACAAGGTTGTCAGGTACCTGCTTATTCTTTTGGGGCTTCTGTTTGGCAAATGGTAGCAAGCCAAACTTAGAGTGAATCCTTAATAAATATTTATGGGATGAGAGAATGAATGAATGAATGAATGAATGAATGAATAGGAAGTATTGGTAACACACTGCTTGCTGTGTGTTTTTCTCTAGATTTGTTTTCTGTCTCCCAAAGGAGCCCCACTCCACTTTCAGTCTGATCACTTTTCCAGACACATTCCCTGTTCCTTCCTTTCTGTGATCCCCTCCCTGCCACGCTCTACAGGTGAGAGGAGGAGCCTAGCCTGACCCTGAATGACCTCTCCCCTCCTCTCTCTATGCAGGCTCGGAGGAGGAGCTGGAGGAGCTGTGTGAACAGGCTGTGTGAGACGCTCAGGCCTACCTCTGACAAGAGCGCTCCAGATGACTCAGGGTGCTGCCAGGCACAGAGTCCTGCTCCTGGAGAAGAAAGGATCTCAGCAAACACCTTGCTTTTTGCCGTTCTTCCTGGAACCACCGGAAGAAGAGTGGCGATGGTGGGTGGCAGGAGGAGCTGTTTCCTGTCCTGGCTCCAGATGTCTGCAGAACACATACCTGCAGCGAGTCTGTGTCTCACCAGGCATCAGCTTCTGCCTGTGTGCATCTGTGAGCTGTATCCCTGAAGGCGTTTTGAGGGCAAGAAGCTAGGTGTGTGTGGCTAGGTGTTACAAAGGTGCTGCTCCTTGCCCCTGCCCTTCCAGGTCTCCTTCACCCCAGACCTCATAATCACACCAGCTTGTGGGTTCAGCCAAATGCAGGATCTCTTCTTACCTCTTTCCTCTGGTGAGCTCTGCACACCAGCTCTGGCTCTTCCGTGGTATGGCTGCATCAGGGACAAACCTGGCTTGATATTACCATTTTCCTTCTTTATAAAAGAACCGAGACGCTAGGTGAGCCCTGACCCTAGTAAGGGGGTTCTCTGCAGGCAGTGTCTGCCCTGGTACACAAAGGAGGATGTTTCCCCCCTCTTGTCCTTTAATTGTTCTTAAATGTGGGATCCACAGCTTAAGCCAGAGTTGGAAGTCAGGGCATAGAGTTTTGTCCCTGAGGTGGGGGCAGCACCTTGACGAAGCTGGGGTGACACCTTTGATCTTTCATCTCCCTCTGTCACTCCTGTCACACCAGTTCCTCTGGGGATGGGAAGTAGAGGTAGTGGGGAGGGAATAACTTCCATGGAGATCTCCTGTGTCTAAGTCCAAAGTAGGTAAAAAGGAGAGAATTTCTTCTGGACCTCATCTGGGAAGAAAGAAGATGGAATGAAAGTGGAAAAGGCAAAATTACAACCGAGCAAGGACAATGAAGTTCTTCTCTGAGAGAAGTTTTGTCTCAGAGCAGGGATGGGGAGCAGGGGAGAACAAAGGAGAAACAAAGTGTGACCCTTTGGGTTTTGCCCAGCTCCCCACTATAAGCCATATAGGCCGGGGTCTACAGGTGTGCACACGGAATGGAACTGGAGCAGAAGTTGGCCTGGGCAGCTTGTGTGAACGTAGGGACCTCTTTAGGGTGACATTCACCCTGGGGGCATCCTGACCCTTGCTAGCCCCTCAGGCGTTATTCTTTGCCTGGAATGTGAATGTTGGGGGCAAGGTGGGCATAAGATCCTATTCGGGAACCTTTTTCCCTCAAAATCATTGGGGATACTAGCACCCAGGTACCCACGTGGGTATTTATATCTGAACCAGACAGAAAGAGGCTTGAATCAGGCACTATGTTGAAAAATGTATTTATTTGCTAATATATTTATCCATAAATGTGGTCTGGTCTTGTTTTCTTTTTGTCATGGCTGTCACTCAGGGTAACAACTTCCTTCTCCATCGAGAGAAATAAATTATTTCTGACATCAGAGGCTAGTTCCTGATTTACGAAAGGATAGGGTGGAATGGTGGGCTTGGCAGTGAGAACTGTTTAGGTCCCTGAAAGCATGACTTCATGCGACCAGGAAAGGAAAGGGCACAGCTGGATTATCACAGTGGTTCAGTGATAATTATCTGTGTTATGACACTAAGGAAGCTTCAGTAATTTACTTTGTGACCTGGCATAGGTATCCTGCACCTCACTTTTTCCATCCATAAAATGGACCTAGTACATAGAATCTGTGCAGCGCTTATGTAAGATAGCACAGAGTGAAAATGTGTTCCAAAATGGAAAGTTATTATTCACAGAGAAAACATCCAAACCTGTCAAAACCCCATCTGGACACAGTATGGGACAGGCAACAAGAAACAGGCCTGACTAAGAGAAGAAGCTCAGTTCCAATCAGGAGGCTGGCAGGAAGGACATAAGAGCAGAGACTGAAACTATTTATAACCCGAAGCACCAATTCAGATAAACAGACTGCACTCTGCCTACACACCAAGAGAGCTGGTGCTCTGTTGGTATGAATTCCCTGGGGTAGCAGGGTATGGTGGCACATGCCAGTAATCCCAGCTGCTTCCAGCTGAGCTCAGTCAAGAGGACGGCAAATTCGAGGCCACCTTGAGTAATTTAGCAACACCCTGTCTCAAGTATTTTTAAAAGAGCTGAGGACATAACTCGGTGGTAGAGCACTTGCCTTGGCATGCTCAAAGCTTTGGGTTCATCCCTCGCACTGAGAAAAAATGTCCCCCAGTATCAGGAAGGGCCTCTGTTCTCCTCGCACTGCAGAATTTCTCTTTCTGTTTCAACCCCAGAAGGATTGGCAAGGAGGCTAGTTGTCTGCGCCCAGTTTAGAAACAGAACAAGGAAATCTAGCTTCCTAGGGTGCAAAGAGGGGAGAGTGATCTACAGTTGTGCTTAAGTACAAAGAAAGAAAAAAGCCTATCTAAATGCGTAGAGCTGCACAAAGTTACACAGAACGGACAAACGTCAAGCACTTTGGGGAGAACAGCACTGTTCTTGCGGCTCGCCAGCTCAGGCCAGCTTTGCTGTGCACTGCAAAGGAAGCCCGGCAGTGCTCTCGCAGTTACGAAGGCAGCATGGGGCCGTCTCTAGATTGTCTTCGGTTTGTACGGAGATAATTTAGAGGGAGGGATGGACTCACTACCACTGCGCTTTTAAAACGGGACCAAAAACTAGTCTATCACCGGGTCTCCTCCTAAGGCACAACGCCCTTGTGCCAGCGCCCAACATCAAACAGACTGAAGCGCTCGCCCGGGTTCTGGGTCGGCATGTTCCTGCGCAGGCGCCAGCCGCCGCTCCGCCCCGCCCCCACCGCGCCAGGCGATAGGCGCAAACCCCGCCTCCACCTCGCTCTCCCGCCGGCCCAGGTGGTGGGGCGCACGCCGGCCAGGTGGCCGCTGACTGCCCCACCTCCGCTCCCAGGCGGGAGAAACCATCTCCTCCGGAGGGGGGAGGGGCGGGGCCAGCGCCCTCCTACACCGGAAGAGGAAGTCTAGGGCGTCGGAAGTGGCTGGCATTCTGGGTAATGAGCTGTTTACTTCCTGCGGGTGTGGAGGTGGTGGCTGTGTTCCTCGCTGTTCTTCGTATCCAAGAAGATGGCCCTGGAGACGGTGCCGAAGGACTTGCGGCATCTGCGGGCGTGTTTGCTGTGTTCTCTGGTCAAGGTGGCTTTCGGGGACCTAGTTGTACGGCCGATGACGGGGCACAAAGTTGAGGAAAGAGGGTGGAAAGGGATGGGACCGAGGAAAGAGTTCAAGACTGCAGGAGGTTGCGAGGCGGGTGGGGAACGGAGTGAAGCCCTTGTTTGTGTCGCAGAAACGCGAGCAGGTCTTTCCGCTGAATGCTCGGGCAGCCTTACGTGCCTTTGAATCTCCAGCTTTTAACACACAAGTTCCCCAGCAGAACTTACGTTGGAGCGAAAAGACACAGAGAATCGGAGCAGGGTGGAGACGTGCAGCTGAGAGTATCAGGAGAGAGTGCAGGACTCCCAAGAGCATTAGAGAAAGGAAAGATCACACGGAATTGGGAACACAGGAGGAAGGAGTTGGGAGGATGGGATTTAGGAATGGAGCCTTGCGAGCTGCAGTTGGGTAGGGGATATGGATGAGACAGAGGCAACGTAGAGAGCCAAGAGGCTGACCAGATCCAAGTACTGCTAGAGACGCTTTTTCTTTTGGCCTTGTTCACGCTCACCTTTACTTTTTCTTCCCCCGTTCTCAGACTATAGACCAGTTTGAATATGACGGTTGTGATAATTGTGATGCGTACTTACAAATGAAGGGTAACCGAGAGATGGTGTATGACTGCACCAGCTCTTCCTTTGATGGGTAAGTTCCTTCAGATTCCTTCATTCACATGTGCCTCACCTCACCCTACACCCCCTGACCCCAATGTGGAGCAGGCTTTCAGGGCCATAATTCTAGTTGTTTTCAACAATTACTTTGAGGTGTAGTAGTCCTGTGCTTCCTGTCCTGTAGTCACTAGCTTCATGTAGCTGTCAAGTAGTTGAAATGTGATTATACAGTTCCTTTGTGAAATAAGGATATGCTTTAAGTGTAAAATATACTCCAGATTTCAAAGATTTAGTATAAGGAAGAAAAGTGTAAGGTTATATGTTTAAGAAATTACGTTTTAGATTTATTGGGCTGAACGAAATACTAAAATTAATTTCATCTGTCTTTTTAAAAATGTGGCTACTAGAAAATCTAAATGATGTGTGCTTTTATTGTAGTCCATCGAGCATCTTATTGATGGTACTACTGTGTTTATCTTGTGCACCACTACCTGGCACAGATAGATGGTGTAGATGCTTAACAAATTATGAGGGATTGAGGATATAGATCACTGGTAGAGCATGTGCTTAGCATGCATGAGGCCCAGAGTATAATCACCAGTATCTCCCACCAAATGTTGAATACTTGAAGGTGCTTTTTGAAAATGAAGAGAAGGGAAGGTATGGTGTTGGTAGATTATTGCCTCAAAGCTGATCTTTATGAGGCCCTCTTTTTTTTTTTTTTTTTTTGTCTTTTTTGAGACACGGTTTCACTATGCAGTTCAGACTGGCCTTAAGCTCACTTCGTAGCCCAGGCTGGCCTCGAACTCACAACGATCCTCCTGTCTCAGCCTCCCGAGTGCTGGGATTACAGGCGTGCGCCACCATGCCCGGCTTATGAGGCCCTCTTGAAAGAGTTTCCTTGGGCAAAATTGTCCAGTGTAGAGAAGGAGAAATGAGAGAAGCATAACGGGCTAGGTCTTACTTTTTCCTCAAAGTAGCAGCCAGAGGACAGTGTTGGGGGTGGGGGGTAAGGAGGTACTACTAAGATTCCTTTTTTTTGTTTGATTTTGTTTTTTTTCCGGTACTGGAAATTGAACTCACGACCTTGTGCTTGCCAGGCAGGCGCTGTGCCGCTGAGCTAAATCCCCAGCCCCTAAGATTCTTTTTGTCTGTATGCCAAGTAAGGGTTTACACACAAACTATGCTCCAACCTAGAATTTACTGAAGTTCTTTCAAGGTGAGCCACCTCCATTCGTCCTTTGGTTTCTTTAAGGAAGAGTAAAGGATTGGGCAAAAAAGGATGTTGGCGTGGAACTTTTTACTTCCTATGCTATGCATACTTAGATATTCTGGTTCCTTTGGTCCTTCATTTAGCTCTGTACCATTCAGTGCTAACATGAATGAGGGGGCTCCCATGTATGAGTAAAGTGCTTGCTTGCTGCCATGAGAGTTGTAAAGAGTTACACAGTGAGATACTAGTAAGAGAACAATGCGAAGTTTTACCAGTTTATCTATTTTGAGGTAAACAGTTCATTGGCATTAGTACGTTCACGTTAGTGTGCCATCATCACCATCATCCGCTTCGGAACTTTTTTCATCTGTATCCATTAAATAGTAGCTTTACATTACCGCCTTCTCCAGCCCTTGACAACCGCCATTCTTTCAGTCTCTATGAATTTGACTACCCCAGGTACCACATATGACTGGCTTACACAATGTTTGTCCCTTTCTGGCTGGCTTATTCAACACTTAGCATAATGTCTTTTTTTTTTTTTTTTTTTTTTTGTCTTTTTGAGACAGTCTTGCTGTGCAGCTCAGGCCAGCCTTGAGCTCACTTTGTAGCCCTGGCTGATCTTGAACTCAAGATGATCCTTCTGCCTCAGCCTCCCGAGTATTGGGATTACAGGCATGAGCCATCACACCTGGCTTTAGCATAATGTTTTAAAGGTTCATCCATGCTGTAGCATGTGTAAAAGTGTCCCTTTTTAAAGCTGAATCATTACATGTCTGCTCAGTTGAGTTGATTCTACCTTTGGGGTCTCATAAATAATACTTCCATGAACATCAGTGTACAAATATCTGTTTTAAGTTCTTACTTTCAGTTTTTTTGGTATATATCCAGAAGTAAAATTGCTACACCATATGGTAATTCATTGTTTAATGTTTTTTTGAGGAACCAAAAAACAGTAATGATGTGTTCCAGTTTCTTTGCATCCTCACGAATTATTATTTTCTTTATGTTTGGTTGGTTTGTATTAATAGCCTTTCTGATATACGGTATGGGCTGTTTTTATAGTAGCCATCTGCATGGGTGTAAATTGGTATCTTGTAGTTTTGATTTGCATTTTTATGTTGAGCATCCTATGTGCTTATTGTCCATTCAGAGTCTTCGCTCAGTTTTTAATCTGGTTGGTTTTTGTTGTTGTTGAGTTGTAGGAATTATATATTCTAGTATATATTAGGTTTTAAAGAGTAGGCAAATGAGAGGATAGATGACCTCAGCCAGAAGTAGAGGCGGTAGCATTCTTTCCTTTTAAAGAAACAAGTTAGTCCTGGTACCACAAAACAAAACAAAACAAAATAATAATAATAATAAAAAAGAGAAACAAGTTTGTATAGGATTTTTTTTTTTTTTTTTGGTACCGGGAATCGAACTCAGGGCCTTGTGCTTACCAGACAGGCACTTGTGCCACTGAGCTATATCCCTGGCCCTATATAGGATTGTTTTGAAAGTTGAGATGAAAGAGATAGAACAATCCAAATAAAGGAGTCATTAGAGTGAAGGTGTGGAGTGAGAGAGACCATGGCATGTTTGGAGAACAGTGGAAATTGTTCGGTTAAATCTGCTGGGTAATACGTACTGTAAAGCTAGGAGGATAAATTGTGAAGGGCAGTATACTTGGTGGGAGCCTGGCCTTCACGCACCTATCCCAGGTCAACCTGCAGGGCCATTTGGCCATTGTTATCCTATGTGTAACCCTGGAGGTGAGGATGTTTCTACTTAAAGCTCATGGATGAGGAGTCTCCCCCCAATAAGAATTGAAGATTGTTGCCCAGAGAACAGGGAATGGATGTGGAGGAGATGACCAGTGAGTCCCAGTGCCTAGAAACACACCAGACGTGATAGGCAGTCAGGAAGCATTTTATCACATGCATAAATAATACAGTGCCTCTGTAGGCTCTGATAGCACCTGATGCTGATCCACCTTGCTTAAGAAGTGGGCTTCTAGTCCTTGAATAGCCTTCATGCTACCATACTGTAGAATTGGTGCCACCTGGGAAGGATTATTTGGATAGATAATAAAGAGAGCTAAAGCTTATTTAGCACCTACACTGTGCTATGTAGATGCTTTCATGTATTATTTCAACTGTTGAGTCTCATTTTACAGATGAAATTCTGTGAGAGGAATCCATATGTACTGGAGACTGCACAGCTCATTGGAGGAAGGGCCTGGCCAAAGGCTAGGTTGTTTCTGCTGGGAGGATCCATAGTTTTGACTCACTGTCCCCTTTGCATTCAGCCCAGTGCCCCAGGGTTTGTGGTGGGTTGTAATCAGTAGTACAGGTCAGCTACTGCTAAAGCTGTCCCATGTCTTAGGGAATCTGCAGGCTAAGCATGTTTTGGTGAGGTAATCTTTTAGGATGGTAGCTGACTTACTGGCAAGCCAGGGACGTAAGAACAAAGGACCTTTGTCAGTGCCAGCTTTGAGTTAGCTCTTAGCATTAGAACTGCAGTTTTCCTGGCTTTCCCGGGGAGACTTGGTACCTCACTATCCAGGATTCCTCTCCCGGGATGTGTGCTGAGCAGCTTTCAGACCAAGCTGACCCTCCATTTCTTTTCCCTCTATAGAATCATTGCCATGATGAGTCCAGAGGACAGCTGGGTCTCCAAGTGGCAGCGAGTGAGTAAGTCTGTCCCTTTTTTCCTATCCAGGCCTGTGCAGTGTTGCTGTGCTTCGGGGCCAGTGGGGGTCTTAAGTCAGCAGGGTGGGAAAGAGGGCTGCAGGAAAGACGGGGAATCTGGGTCCTGGGCTCTGATGCCAAAAGAAGTGATGGCTTTTAGTCTTACCTCATTCCCACTGCAGTGTCGTTTTTTTTTTTTCTTCTTCTTCTTCTTCTTTTTTTAACAATGTCCTTTCTTTTCTCTCAGGCAACTTTAAGCCGGGTGTATACGCAGTATCAGTCACTGGCCGCCTGCCCCAAGGTAATCACGGTTATGTTTAACTGTCCTAAGCTCTGTGGAAGTCGGAACTCTTCTGAGGTTCTACAGTGTACCGATGAGGAAAGCGGAGTACAGAGAAGTGTATAATTTGCTGGATGTCACTGGACATTTTGGCTCCAGAACCCTTGCTTTGGGTGACTGCATAAGTCACTCTTCTCTTCCTTTCTGGTTGGTCAAGCCCTCGCTGGGTTCTTTAGTGGTGATAAGAAGCCTTCAGGCAGGACTCTTGATGAGCAGTCTAGGAGCTGCAATTTGCTTATAGCCCTGTGTCATGGTGGCAGATAAAGGCGTTTCCTACCCTTGTGAATCTTCCTTCATGGAGTTGTTTCTTTTCATGCCACAGGAATTGTGCGGGAGCTGAAAAGTCGAGGAGTGGCCTACAAATCCAGAGACACAGCTATAAAGACCTAACAAGATGCAGGGCTGCCAGCGTCTTTGCTCTCCACCTCCTGCCTCTACTTACTATTTGGTTGTTGGACTGGACTCCCTGCCCTCCATCTTGGAGAATCAGCTGACTGTTGAGAGAGCAGCTTCCTGTTCCTGGGCCATTTCCCTTCTTTGGACTACTTACTGGCAGAGGTGGGAGGGTTTGGGCTGGTGGATTCACAGAGACTGCATTGAGGAGAGAGTAGGGTGTTGGTTTTCCTACTCACATCCATGGACGTGACCCTGGGTGAAATACCAATAAACGTGAAGCCCTGAAAAATTCTTAAAGCCTCGACACATGCCTTGCCTTCATCTCCCTCAGCAGGGCACAGCCAGGGCTCCTTCGTTCTGTAAGCACTGGCCTGCACAGCGCAGACCCTTTTGCTCCTGTTGCTGTCCCAGCCTGCAGGGCTGCAGCCTTCTGAGTGTGTCTGCTTGGGCCTCACTGACAGGCCTGCTGTGGGCGAGATGACGCCTCAGTGTGGTGGGCCTGGACTCCAGTAGTACTGTCTTTCTGCCTCCTAGATCTAGCACAGTAGTCTTCCTTGAAGAAATCTAAATCTTAGGTTTCTTTGTGCTCATTGCACCTTAACTTTTTTTTTTTTTTTAAGACAGGCTTTTGCTGTGTGTGTGGTTCAGGCTGGCCTTGAACTCACTTCAGTCTTCCTGCCTCAGTCTCCTGAGTGCTGGGATAACAGGTGTGCACCCCACACCTAGCCCTTAACCAGTTTAATGCTTTTCCCCGCTCCTTTGTTTTTTTTTTGTTTGTTTGTTTTTTTGTCTTTTTGAGGCAGGGACTCACTATGCAGTTCAGGCTGGCTTTGAACTCACTTTATAGCTCAGGCTGAATTTGCAGCAATCCTCTTACCTCAGCCTCTCAAATGCTGGGATTACAGGCGTGCGCCACCATGCCCAGCTTGGTTTTGTTTTCTTTTTTCAGCCCTTCCTACATCTTTTATTTCTTTTCCTACATTTTATATTCCCTTAACTGGAGACCTCCAGGCCTTAGGGGACTGTTGGGTCTTGGTCTGGGTGGTTCGTGTTGCATAGGAAGTAGGCCCATCCTTTTTCTTGGCCTTGTAGGGGGCCTTGAGTAATGCATGTCAGATTGGCCAACGTGAGCCGGTTCCAATTTTAAAATGTACCATATATTCACATTAAATTTCCACAGAAATCCTAGTAGTATTACCATTTTGATTTTTCTAGCTGTGAAATGGGAGTGATTTTATCCATGAAAGGTCCTGTTTGCTTCAGGATTGTTGTGATTAGAAATAAAGCAGTATGAAAATTCTGTAAGTCTTAAAGGTAACATTCATGTGCTGTTTGTTAGTCACCCTTACATCCACACATAAAGTATGCACCGTCAGAATGGGGGTTGCCCAGACGCCAGGTCCAGGGTGTGCGGCTGCTGCTAGCATTGTGTCTCGCAGCCACCTGGTGCTGCTAGTGAGTCAGCTTACCTGTGCCTGGTGTGGGAGGGAAGAGATGCTAGCTCCCCCCCCGCCCCCCCCATCCCCACCCCTTCCTTGTCCTTTCCTGGGCCTGTGGGAGAAAGCGGGGACTGGCTGTGTTGCTCATGCTCTCCCACTGGTCCTCAGAGTAGAGCCACCTCACTGGTGCCTCCAAGCTCTGAGGGAATGGTCCTGTTAATGCTAGTTCCAAACAGCTTTCAAGAGCTTTCCTGGCCCTCAAAATGGAAAGGCTCCGTGATGGTGCTTTCTCTTGCATTTCAGTCTGAAAGGAACCTTGCTCAACAGCCCTCCTAGGCTACAGCTTCCATTCTGGAGGGAAGAACTAGCTCGCAGCAGGCGTGCCTGACCATGCAACCAACACCCATACTTTCACTGGCTTTCTCAAAAAGTCCCCAGAAAGCCCCAGCTGCTATCCTGTGTGTCTGACCAGACAGGGCTGCTGGGTGAGAATGGAAACAGTTGTGGGGAGGGCAGGTAAAAAGAAGCCTGCACAAATAACCACATCGGGCTGCCTCGGTCCCACACTGAGCAAGGCCCTAACTGTCGATCTCACAGGAAACGACAGGCCCTGATGGTCTTGGGGGAGGGGGGTCAGTGCAGCTCTGAATTCAGCTCTCAGGAGCTGCTTCTGAATTTCTTTTTTTGTGTTTCTGAATGTTGAACCAGAGAGCTATACCCCATCTCTAAAACTTGTTTTTCGAGACAGGGTCCACCTACATAGTTGAGGCCAGCCTTGAACTTGTGAGCCTCCTGCCTGAGCATCCTGAATTCTGGGATTATGTACATGTGCCATCACACCTGGGTTGCTCAGTCTCTTCTGGTACTGGAGATTGAACCCAGGGCACTTTCACTGCACTGCATCCCAGGATTTTTTTGTTCTGTTTTTAGAGACGGGGTCTCACTGAGTTGCTCTGTCTGGCCTCAGACTTGTAATCCTCCTGCCCCGTGCTCCCAAGTAGCTGGAATTACAGGCATGTACCACCATGCCTGGCTCTGAATTGCTTTCTGCCTTCTCTGGAACTTGAAGCTGCATATGCTGGCACTTAGCACCTCAGACAGTAAGGTGCTGGACTTCCATCTGCTGAGAGCCCAAAGACAGGGACTCGGTTGCGATGCTCTCAGGGGGTGGGTGGAGTCTCAAGTGCTGGTGGTGCTCCCCTGCAACCCTTACCCATGAGGGCTCGCTCTGTCCTACCCGTTGTGTCTCAGAGTTTCAGCTCTGTTCCAACTGCCAAAGTTCTGAGTCTGCCCAGGGTCTGAAGATTCCCTCTTGGTCTCTTATGCAGTAGTTTGACCTCTCTACTTTAGAAGGGGAAGGCTGCCTGGTTCAAGGACAGACTCAAGTCAGACAAGAGACCAAAAGCAGTAGTAGCCAGGCAGCCTTCCCCTGCCTGCCTATTCCTCTTCCTACTGTAACTACCAAATTGTGGGGTTAGGGTCTCCCAAAACCTGAGGGGCGAGGTGGCAGCACTTTGGTGACTGCAGCCTCCAGCCCAAGCGGGAACTGAGCTGATAGAGTAAGGGCCTTGGAAGAGAAGTTTCCCCAAGAATAATGGTGACAGACTGGCAAGGGCCTAAGCTTAGACTGCGCTGACGGGGTTTGGGGACTGAGGCCTGGCTTTTGCCGTGGCCACTACCTTATCACTCCCAACCTGTCTGTGTCCTGCTACTCAACCGTCAGGCCCCTCCCTGACATGTCATCCCTGTGTGTGCGTAAGAGAGACCAGGAGGTAAAGGTAAAGGCAGACTAATAATATCTTACCTTGCCTGCAAGTCTGGCTTGTGTTTAGTAGCAGTAAACCCTCTCATTTAAATAGCATTTTGAAGTTGACAGAGGGCATTCGTATCCATTATCATTTGATCCTCACAAAACCCCTAAGACGTAGTTGACATCCTTATTTAGCAAGGAGGAGATAAGCTTGGAGTTAAGTGGTGTGGCTGTGATGAAGTAGGAGAGCCTTAGCTTGAGACATACAATGCCCACACCCAATTTGGGGCTTTTGTTTCTCACAGCCTTAACCCCAAACACAGCAGCTTTGCTTCCTTTGTGATTGTCCCACAGAACCTGTGCGCGTCATTACTTCAGTGAAGTTGTAGCACGTTGTCCCTGCGCATAGAAAGAAACCCCACCAAACCACTCTACTCTTAACGCCTCCTGTCCCCATCTAATTTAGCCAGAGTGAGGCAGTGGGGGTCATGGCCCAGGGAAGAGATCCATGGGATCCCCCTCAAGGATCCCTCGGCAGAGCGGAGGGAAAAAAGTCCAGTCCTCAGTTTCCCTAGCTGCATCTCCTACTCCACTGCAACCTTTCTTAGGCACCCGCTGACCTGTGTCCCACATTTCCCAGCCTCTCTCCTCTGTTCTCCTCCTGCCCAATTTCTCTGCCTGCAGGCTGGCCATGCCACCATCACACCGCACTGGCATTCAGACTTGGGTGATGACAGCACACGTATCCAGCTAAGGTTGATGCTTCTGCCTCCTGGCTCTGCTGCTTCCACTGGCAACGAGCCCCGTGTCTTTATAAAGTCACCTTCCTGAAAGTTTCTTCTCTGAAATGCCGCTGACAAAATTAAGCATAGTAAGTGGCAAAATAGTAGTAACAGTGACACAAGGTGTGATTGAGAAATACATGAATATTTAACTTTTAAAATGTATTAC